ACACTGACATAACATGGTCAAATATGCCTGTCATGCTGCACAGTAAACGCAGTAAAACAATTTACAAAACCTTTACGTAGCCCACCTGCACTCTGAGGTCACATCAAATTAACCAGTGACCATTAAATCATGAAAACACTATCTTCAACTGATGCATAATATCCCACTTGCTGTAGTCCTGTTTTATCTAATTCATTACAATAAACTTTATAATAGAGTCCCAGAACTAAACCACAAATGCCCCACTAAAATAAATTGAAATTACTTCCAAAATGTCATTTTTTTTAATTTTAAGATGAAACCAACTGTTAGCATCCACTGTTACAAACAACTTCCTTCAGGACACTGACAACATCAAGCATTACGTCTTTTTCAGACATAAATACAAATTGTTCGAGGCCACAAAGGAAGTTTATGTTAAAGAAAGATAAGAAATTACATTCTTATCTCTCATCTCTTTGTGCAGACCATTATGCTTCTCTCTCTCTCTCTCACATAAGCTGATGATTCTCTGCATTTACATCACCACCATAAAGTGATTTTCTTGCTGGGAACCCAGAGCATTGGGGACCAAGGCTTTAATATATTTCAGTCTTGGCAATAAACCTCTGCCATTATTTTGAATTTCATTCACATTTACTTAGATACTTTTTACTTAGTAAGAGCTTTCTCAGTCACCTCCTGACTTTCTTATTTACCCTTAAAACTACGCTTACAGCATCACAGACTGTTGTTATAGAAATTGTGGCACCCTAGAGACAGCATTACCTCACTGCAGATTTAAGGATGATGAACAGACAGACTGTGAGAGACAGGGATTTTTATGTTAAATACAGACACTTGAATTAACAAGAAAACATGTAATGAAAGAAAGCACTAAACGGATTAATTTTTCAACTTGATTTTTTTTTTAACATTTTCTCTAGTAGGAATGTCTAACTTTTTAAATTTCTGTTTTGCTTAAGCAAAAGACTAAACTCTGTTTCATACAAGAGAACTTTTTTTGATCCTAATGGCTGAAAATGCATTTTTAAAAGGAATCACAGGATCTGTATATCTATACCCCCTTAATGTGGAGACTGTTCTTCAAACATAAGTAGTTTTATGAGCAGCAAAACTCAAGTCTAAATTCCTCTTCTTGGATGTGAGAGGCTGCAAGTGCTGATCTACTCATACACAGCAGCTGAGACATTCATTATATGTGGATTCTATGTCATCTAGTATCACAGACGAGTTTGGTCAGTATAGACATGAATTTGTCTCCTCTAACTGCCTAGATATTTTCATCATACGTAATAGCTGAAACATCTACCCTTCTATTCGATTTAATGCTTAAAAAATGGGAGAAATCTAAGAATTATGGAGGAAAAAGAAAAAGTAACTTTTAATGAAAAAAGGAAGAACAGAACTTTAGGACTAGAGAAATATGCCCAGAAATGTCTCTGATTACAGGGGAAAGATTTCCACGGAATAAATCTGTAACTATAAATTAAAATACCGTTTTTCTAGTCTTCCAGGATATAAATGGTGTAATGTACTACAGACTTTTTGGACTTCAGCTATTTCAGAGTGACACACTTCAAAGAAGTTCCAGTTTCTCTAAAGAACCATGTAAGCAGCTTGTGCTAATTAGAGAGAGTCGTTTGACAACACAGTCCCTTGTTCTATGGAAACAGAGGAATTAAAGGATTAAGAAAACATGGGATATGCCAAAATATTGTAATATCATCCTTTTAATTCAAAATTTACAACTCAAGTTTTGGGTGTTGGGGGTGACAATACTATGACTACACAAGATATTATCAAAGGCATGAAAAAAAACCTGTTGCAGAGTTGTATTTGTTCTGTAGCTTCTTTCACTTCCAATATTCTGAACAGGCCTAGTCAGCCCCATAACACATGTTCCTTGTTATGTCCATTCGCTTTTCAGTTGGTTTCCCACACATCAAGCCAGACTATGAGCCTCAGGAGGGAGTCAGCTACTCCTCCAAGCTGCTATGAGTCACTGTGATGTCTGCTGCATAGGCCAAATTAAGCCTGAATTTCTTGCTTCCACTAGGCAACAAGAACAATGAGGAAAAACATGGCAAGGAGGTGAGAAAAGATCAAAAAGCCAGGAACTCTCTCCTCTCAATATCTCTATCTTCCTGTCATAGCCGCCATAGTGCACGGTGATGAAGGAAGTAAATCAAAGACTTGGTGCGGAATTGTAAGAAAGATTAGAGTATTCCAACTTTCAACCTTTCAGTGTTCCTTTAATACTAATTCCTTGTGACAAATGAAAAAAATCGATGCTACCTCATAAAATAAGTACATATTCTTGTACCCTGTTAGAAGTACAAAGACTTACATCCACAGATTTATCCTTGGATGTGAACACATTGGTGACAGATGCATTTTGTTTAAACCTAAAATAAAGCTGTGCTAAATGAATATTTACCTAATAATTCAGCCTATTATTATTTTTCATATATAGGTTCCTATTGTTTTGGTGATGAAACTTTTAATCACATAAATTAAAACACTAACATAAATCATTGTCTGAAAGTTAAAACAAGACACTTCAGCATTTTGTATGTTACAGATAATCATCTATTCAGGAATGTCAGTGGAGGAAGACTGGAATCACAAACATCACTGCCACACACAATTTTTGAACTCTATTCTGAAATCAAGAATTTTTCATTTGATCTTAGCTGTCAGGACAAGACACTAGGGTAAGAAATAGGGTTTCAGGTTGCGAGTGATTGAGATCAGTCAGTTTAATAGTGATCATTAACCTGCTTTATATCATATTTTTAAGAAGCTTACTTTGTGGACAAGACATTCTTAAGGTACTGGTGGCTGGGAGGGAATTTTGGATGGGAAGGGGCATGAGGGGAAATACCAGTATACACATGCACTTTGAAGGTATCAGTCACTGTCAGAGAGACGATACTGAGTTTAGCAGTAATGCTGTATTGCCACTTTCATATTCATTAAAAAAAAAAACAAAAACAAAAACACAAACCCCAACCCCCAGCAATAAGATCCACATTGAAGACAAACTCTGTTTTTTTAATTATATCAGCACTACTCATGAACAGTACCTTCCTTCACTTGCAGGAGACTGCATAAATTTGTTCCTGTGCATAGTGCTTTGAAACAGTCACCCTAATACACAGAAAAGCAGATGTAACTGTCACATGCAACTTACAACTGCTTGCAGTGTACTTGCTGCCACAGCTGCTTTCTGGGCATCCATAAACAGCTGAAAGAAACATAAACCTGCTAATCACTGAGGTACACCTATAAATCTACTGCACTCTTAATACGTTGCAAATACTGTCTTTGCCTATTTCCTTTAAAAGCACGGCTTCTGTCTCAGTCTAGCTGAATCACCAGCAGTTTGTTTTCATTCAAATCCCTCTCTCTGCCAGACACTGGAGTGACTAATGAACTGCAGAATCTGGTCTGTATAAAAATTTGACTTAGCAAACTAACCATCAGCATGTTGATGACACTGCCACCCAAAATATCACAGTAACACAAAAGAAACAATTTACATGGGCTCTAGGCCAGTCTATCCTTCCTATTCAAATTTCAGGAGAGTATGACCTAATTTCTCCACAAGTAGTAGAATCTGGAGCTTTTGTTAATTCAGTTTCCTTTCCTTTCTTTATTTCAGCCTATGTTTTTGCCACAGATGATGACTGTCATTAGGAGAAAAAAATATTTATTTGGGTAAAATTAAATACGGCAAGCACATAGCCTATAATAAGAATCTAAGAGTAACAGAAAGAGCCTGTAGCACTCCTTGTCAACAGCAGAATACCTGTCCTGGTCATCTAGAGATAGACTCCCACACCTCAGACTGATCAGATGCACTGTAAATTCAATTCTGTCTATATTAGAACCATGTTGTTTCTGTCAAAACCAAGTTTTCTGAATATTCCAGCAACTTTTATGCAACCAGTACCATGCCCACTTTACAAAAAAGGAAGATTAAGGAGGAGGAAACTGAGGAAAGAGGGAGAAAGAAGTAATACACTAAGCAATATAAAGCAGTAGATCCACTACTCCTATTCATTCCTTCTCATACACAAGGCCAAAAGGATATCCACTGGAACTGGAAAGAACCATACAGCATTACCCTGTACATTTCTGACAGTAAGGTAGCATAAAAGCTTGGTTTTTAATTCTACTTAATCCTTTCTAGGTGGTATTTTCTAAAATCTCCAGGTACATGAAGAACAGATGGTCTATTGCCTTTCATTTTGATATTTCAGACAATTCCACAGTTTATGACTAATTTCTAAGTAACGACGACTTCCTGTTTCATATTTAAGAACATAAATTTGAAACAGAGTTGTGACGGCTACAATAATAACTTTTTTCCCGTGTAAATATGTTATGTAAGTATTTATCTAAACAACAAAAAATTAAGGAATATTTTTCTGTGGAAAGCTTATCTGATAACTAGTTAGCATTACGCTTCAGATATACCCTCTCATACATTTGTATAGGACAATATACATGGCTAGCTATAAAAGTGATCTGAGCAGATACGAGTGTTCCTCTATACACCAGTTGCAATAATGGTATTCGTTCCTTTTATTATGGACACTATCTGGAGAAAATCTGCAGCCAGACTAGAGTTCAGTAGGTCACTACCTCCCACATTCTAAGGCAATGGAAAAGGCAGTCAGGTTTCCATTCATTCACTATTCTGCTACTCATTTGAACAGAATCTCATTAGAAACTGACAACCCAATTAATCCAAAAAACCACTTCTTTCCTCATGAATTTCTGCAGGCAAGCATTTAGATTTCAACACAGATTTAGCCATTTACATTTAAAAATCAGATCCTTAACAAGCAGCAGTAAACAACATAACCAAAACATAAGGTCTGTTTTTCCAGATAAGAAAATACTGTGACTTATCACCATCTCTATATATTAAACAAGATTAAAAATGTCAGAAACTAATTTCTGCAAATGCTTCTACCTCTTTGTTTTACCTGCTTCTGTGTACTTTAATCCTACTTTTACTTCTTCATGCTTTGCTTTTGGTGGCGGCCAGACAGTCTGGAGTCTCCCTGGAGTCTTGTCATCTTGCTCCGAGGGACTCAGGTCAGGCTGTTAAAATTACGCAAGAAAAAATTAAAGTCTGCAGTATCAATCGATCCCAAAACAGCCACTGCCATGCTCAGCTCTACATGTGTACTCCAGAATGGTTATCTACCTCATTCTGCTGACTGAAACAGTGCTCAGTTGGTTGGAAGGGATACAAAGAAATTAGTGCAGAAAAATAATTTTGAGGAGGAAAATAACAATGCATGTGACATACAACGATTTGTTGAAACTGTTCACATCAGTGAAAGCTGTCTATCCTTTGGTGAACCACAGAGGTGGTCAAGAACACTAGGGTTTTTTTCTGTATCTTTTTTTTCAGAGTGACAAGACCCATCTGTGCTCCTCTTACAAGTAACCATTAGTGCAATTCACCTAAGACATCATTTGACAATATAATTTTCTGGAAGCAGAGCCAGTTTATGAAATTCCTACCCCACCCCCAGCAGCTTGCTCAGTCCACATACCATGTAACACTGCCACATCAAAGTGCTGCTGCAGCTGTTAAAGGGATTGCATTGTCAACTGGAATGCTAAAATAACCTTTTAAATAAGGGGAAAAAAAAACTCACTAAACATGCATTCTTTTAGAGGTTTACGTTTTGGTTTTTTTCCTACACCTCTAACATTTCTGCAATCTGATTTTCAACACGCTACTACGAGTAATTGCATAGACACAACGGCAGCAACAGCAAAACCCTGTATGAAAGTAGCCCCACAAATAGCCCACATGAGCAAGGAAAAGGAAAGGCAAGACCCTTTTACTCTGGCTCTGCGCTGAGAAAAGGTACATTAGCACTAGACCAGACATTAAGCAGACATTTATAAAAGCCACTCTCACTGACTCCTGTGCTTCCTTGCTCACTGCGTGTGATGGCAGCTTCCCAAATAGGTCTGCTGTGAGCCACACGAATGCTTACGCCAGCACAGCACAGGGAGTGGTGTAAGCAGGAAGAAGCAAGCCAGGAATGGGAAGGGCACGCACAGACTGCAATTGCTGCACATGCCACGGCCAACGAGTGCCTCTTTTCTCCTCCCCATAGGTAATTTACTACAAGCTGGTATTATCGGTCTACTCAGATGTCAGTCAAGATTTTTTAAAAGTTTTTAATTTTACGTAAGAATAAAAATTTGAAAGAGACTACAACCAACTCAACAAATTAACTTAATTAGTTTTGGGTTTAAGGTCCAATCCTGCAAATTTAATCATTCAGATAATTCCCCCTTTAGCCAACAAGAACAATCTTCTGGATTGATTACATCTGCCAAAGATGCAGCTGTAAGAATTTGGGGTTGGGGGAACCTAAGAGTTACTCATTTAACTAAACAGTTCAAATCACATTCAAATTCATTTATCATTATGGTTCTATGAAAACTTAGCATAGATCTTGTTTTTCATGTTTTAAAAATATACTAACTAAATCTCCATATGCCTAAGAATATTAACCTTGCAAATGCTTATATTAATCCATAACTTGAGTCATCTAATTAGAATCACAAAGTTATACTCAGATAAGGTTAAATGCTTATCAATATTTGCAAAGCCAGATATATGCATGTAAATAAGAAAAAAATTACTTTAAATTCTATGTCTTGGACAAACTGAGTTGAAGATCAACCATAACTTCTTGTATCAGCTCTTATCTTAGAATTATTCCTAAAGGTAAAGTGAAATATTACTTCTAAAAATAAAAAACTCAATGAAAGAAAACAGAGTGAGATTGAGAAACTATTAAATAATACTACAGTAAATTTTTACAGCACCAAACTGATTTAAAGCCATACTTAACATGGCCAACTGTTTTGCAGTGATCTTTTAAAATCAGAAACTGATTTTTGAGTTCTTATTTCTAATTGAAAAGCTGTGACTATCACCAGTGCTCACTGAATTCTGCTACAACCGCAGATAACCAAGAATTTTGACAAATTAGCCCCAAGATTTCTTCAGTTGGGAATCCAAAATTTGAGATTGCCAAAAGATGAGGACAATTCTGACATTTTGACCTTAAGTGCCCACAAATAATTCTTAAACAAGAAATTATTTTTTATCCGTCTACTTCCAGATCTTAGGAAGAAAAAGTAATTCAACCTACAGATTTGTCTGATGGTCCATCCCCAGGTTTTGATTTTGATCTTTCAAATACAGCTTTCAAGGACTCTTTTTCATTTCTCATTTTGCGTTTTATGGCTTCCAGCTCTGAAGTATCTGCAGTTGTTTCTTTTTTGGGAGGCCGTGTGAATAAAGCTTTAAAGACATCCAGTGCAGATTCAGCAGGGTTTGATTTTATTTCCTCAGAGGGAAATCGTGGTTCTGTTTTGCTGGAGGCTTTGTTCTCTTGAGCTTCATCACTATCCTCGGTCTCTCCAGATCCCTCACCAGAGTCCTCAGTTCTATCTTCATTCTTGGAGACATCTATGTTTAACAAGTGCGAAAGTTGTTCCAGGAAAGTAGGACTTGCTTTAGGTTCAGCTGACTTTTTTTTAGTGGTCAAACCTGATGTAATACTGGATTTCTTAACAGGCTGTCGTAATTTAAGCAGAGCTAAATCATTCTCCCTTGGTTTAATTTCTGTAACAGTTTCCCCATCCTCTGTGGTTAGTCCCTTTTTCCTCACACGTAGTCCACTAAAGAAAGCGGGCAGCTGGAAAGTCTTTTCAGCCAGTGCTGTTTTTTGGAGCGATGTATTATCAGCTGAACGTCTTTGTTCTTCAACTGGAAGTTCTTGAGGGCATTCCCCTGTGGCAAGAAAGTGGCTGAACTGCTCATCCATTAAGATTTTGTCTTTTCCACTGGAGTCATGCTCCAGAATACCATCCATCTCTTTTGGGAGCCGCTTAGAAATTGGTGGGTGTAACTCAATGTCATCTGTATCCACAGCGTCATCACTGTTGCTGTGCCCTTGTGATTCTGACTCTTCCTTATTTTGATTGGTATCGTCCAAAGCCTCAGCAGACAAAGCAGCATTATTTAGCCCAGATTCGCTTGTATTGTTCTCATCGATGTCTAGGTCCTTACTCTCTGTGTCCGATTCTGTATCACTTGTTGTATGAACCAAAGTACCTTGTACAAGAATAGCATCCTTGTCATCATTGTCAGATTCAGACAAAGAAGTCTGTACAAACCTTAAATGGTGAAGAAGCAATTCATTTTGTTCAGCTAACTCCAGTTCCAGGTCAGTTTGCCTGCTAGACATTGGGTCAGCTTGGCCACTGGTACTATTCATGCCGTGCTGATTTTCTGAGACGTCATTACAATCATTATCATTCCTCTCATGCCAGGTGTTAGCATGAGTACTTATATTGGTGTGCAAAGGTTGAAATGCTTTAAGCACTGTTTCTTCTTTGGAAGCTGTAGATTCAAATTTAGTTGTAAATCCAAAAAGTGTTTTCACAGAAAATGTAGTGAAAAGATCAGATTCACTTTCTGCTGTATTCTCCAGGTCTGAAAGCTCACTACAATCAGGCACCACATTTTCTTCTTCCATGTTGCGTGAAGTACAGAATAGGTTTGCTTCTAGCAGTGCTACTAACTGCTAAACAAATACTTACTACACGCATTCAGACAGCAGACTGAACTCACTACAGGCGCTGCAACAGGCAGCGCTCCCCTGCCCTGCGCAGGCAGCCAGCCTCCCCCAGGTCACCCTGCCCGTCCTTCCGCTTCCAGCGCTGCAGCCGGCAGCCAAAGTGTCCGTCAGGTCTCCAAACTCTACTTCAGGAGCAGCAAAAAGACCCACTGCAAAAAAAAAAAAGTTCTCAGCAGCGTCAGTAACTTGTTCCTTTACACAAAGGGCTTTTTGTCACAGCAAATATGCCAGCGCACTAATCTCAGTTGAAAATTCGACCAATGGTTACTGCTGGGACTCCAGCAATCCTACTGGCTGCACACAACTTCCTACGTGCTAAAAAGTGCCGAGCAGCTACATAAACAAGCCTCCCGAACAGAACTGGGCGCTTTTGTAGTTTGCTACTTCCTTATCCCAGTACACGAGCAGTGAGTGGTTTTCAGCAGAAAATTCTTGATGGATTCTTTTGCATCGCCTTTCCACTTTGATGAAGATCTTCTTCTGTAAATCCATAATTACCAGAAAATGTCAAATGGAAACCCGAAGTAACGAATCTGAAGCTTCCACTGCCACCTCTGGGAGCCTGTGCAGAGTCCCCAGTTCCCAGCCAGCCAGAGCGAACTCGGGTGAGCACCCCTGAAGCCGAAGA